CTCTCTCCCTCCCTCTCTCTTTGCCCTCCTCTACTCTTACTCTCTCTCAAAATAAATTAACTTAAGGGGCGCCTGGGTGGCTTAGTCGGTTAAGCATCCGACTTTCGCTTAGGTCATGATCTCGCGGTTCGTGGGTTCGAGCCCCGCGTCGGGCTCTGTGCTGACTGCCAGCTCAGAGCCTGGAGCCTGTTTCAGAGTCTGTTTCTCCCTCTCTCTCTGACCCTCCCCTGCTCACGCTGTCTCTATCTAGAAATAAATAAAAATATTAAAAAAATAAATAAATAAATTAACTTAAAAAAAAGTACAATGTACTGGTCATATAGAGTTTGAGTTTGACAAATGTGTACACCCATGTAACCAATATCTCTGACAAGGAAGATTCAGAGCTTGAGTATTACTTATCATAACCTAGAAAATACCCTTCTGTCCCTTACCGGTCAGCCTTCTCCATCCACAACCACTATTCTAATTTCTAATCTCACATGTTAGTTTTACCTATATGTGAATTTTATATAAGCAGAGTCATACAGTATATATTTTTTGTGTCTGACGACTTTGACTTAACATAATGTTTTTGACATTCATAGCTGAATAATGTTTAAGAGCTCTCATGTTCTCTCAGGAGCCATGTTCTTTGGTTTTTGGGGGAGGAGTTTGTTTGGTTTGCTTTTTGGTTTTTTTTTTTTGAGAGAGAGAGAGAGTGGGGGAGGGGCAAGGGAAAGAGAAAAGTGGGGAGGGAGAGAGAATCTTAAGTAGGCTCCATGCTCAGTGTGGAGCCTGATGAGGGGCTACATCCCACAACCCTGGGATCATGACCTGAGCTGAAATCAAGAGTTGGATGCTCAACCAACTGAGCTACCCAGGCATCCCCAGGAGACCATTCATATTCTTAATTAAAATGTGGTGCTGGGCCACCTGGGTGGCTCAGTCGGTTAAGCCGCCGACTTTGGCTCAGGTCATGATCTCACATTTGTGGGTTCAAACCCCTCATCAGTCTCTTCACTGACAGCTTAGAGCCTGGAGCCTGCTTTGGATTCTGTATCTCCCTGACTCTGCCCCTCCCCCTCTCATGCTATGTCTCAAAAATAAATAAAACATTTAAAAAAAAATAAAAAATAAAACGTGGTGCTAACTTCTACTACTTCATGTTCATCAGAACACAAATGATTTTTCTTAGTCCTCTGTGGACTGTGAATTCACTTTATCACTGCAAGTATTATCACTAAAATATTTGCATATAAATTAAGTTGAAGATATAATCAAATGTAAGTCATATACCTGTAACTATTGATTCTGTAACGTTAACTTTTTCATTTTTAATAAATAGTGTTCTTTGCTAGCATACAATGAGGGCACTTTTATCTTTCCTTGTTTTTATGTATTTTCCAGACACATTGACTAAATGAAATGCTTAATTTTTCCTTTACATTGTGTGTTTTAATATAGATCAAATTAGCTATCTTCAGTATGAACTTGAGCTGAGGACAATAAGAAACCCTATTGTTTCCAGCCTCCACTAAGCTGAACTGGCAGAGTGTCAGGCAAATTCCCAGTATGGAGCAGTTTTATTACAATTTGGTACAATTGGTTCTTGCATAACCTTTAGAAAATCATACATAAAACATTCTCATCTATATAAATAAAAATCACCCACACATTTTATTAATAGCTTTGTTCACTTTTTCCCCGGGACTTGTGCTGCATGTTCCTACTGTGCCCCCTTTTTCAGTCTTTTTTTTTAGATAACTTTCTGTAAGCTTTCTTAAAGGCAAAAAGGTTAGGAAATACTAGGAATCATATATATAAGATTCTTGATAATTCCCCCTAGACACAGCTCTCCCTGTCGTGTACTATAACTAGTAACTAGTGTCTCTGTGTGGCCTTTTTACCGTTAGTCACAGGGAGTGGCTTTTTTACTAGATTCAGTCAATGTAATTTCAGGAAAGAAAGACGGAAAAAAGGTGGTACTTCCATGGAAACAAGATTCATAATATATTTAATTTGTGATAATATTTGGGAGTTTATTTTAAAACACACATTTTTAAGGTTCTACCACTGTCACTATTAATACATAGTGACAGCAAAACATGCTAGGTTGAAGTCTCAGCTTTTTGTCCTTAGTCTGGTTCATTGGCCAGAAATGTGTTTTCAGGTGTCATTTTTCTAAATCCAAACAAAAGACTTTCTGTATAATCCTCCTAACTATATGGTATAAAACGCCACAATAACTTATTAATAAGCCTATAGCTCTAACTACCAACTCACAGAAAAACAAAGACCAGAAGAACATATTAAATGACATCACTATCCAGAATGTGGGATACTCTGCTGGACAAATAACCCAGTTTCTTCAACAAATGAGTAGCGGGTGGAGGTGGTGAACATTTTTTAGATTAAAAACAGTCTCAAGGTATGTGTCACTTATACCTCAATTTAAAAAGAGAGAAAGAGGGACTTCCGGCTAGCTCCCTTTGATAGAGCATGTGACTCCCAATCTCAAGGTTGTGAGTTCAAATCCCACATTGGGCATGGAGCCTATCTCTGAGTAAGTAAGTAAGTAAGTAAGTAAGTAAGTAAAATAAAAAGAAAGAGGAGGACTCCCAGGTGGCTCTGTTGCTTAAGTATGTGACTCTTGATTTTGTCTCCGGTCATGATCTCACAGTTCATGAGGTCAGGCCACACATTGGGCTCTGCACGGACAGTGTGGAGCCTGCTTGGGATTCTGTTTTCTTCCTCTGCCCCTACCCCCACTCGCACTTTTTCTCTCTCTCTCTCAAAATAAATAAACTTTATTTTTTTTAATTTTGTTTATTTTTGAGAGAGAGAGAGAGGATGAGCACAAGTGAGGAAGGGGCAGAGAGAGGGAGACAAAGTCCAAAGCAGGCTCCAGGCTCTGAGCTGTCAGCACAGAGCCCGATGCGGGACTCAAACCCACGAGCCGTGAGATCATGACCTGAGGTGAAATCGGACGCTTCACCGACTGAGCCACCCAGGTGCCCCTAAATAAATAAACTTTAAAAAAGAGTGAGAGCGAGGGGCGCCTGGGTGGGTCAGCCAGTTAAGCTTCTGACTTCGGCTCAGGTCATCATCTCACGGTTCGTGGGTTCGAGCCCCTACATCGGGCTCTGTGCTGACAGCTAGCTCAGAGCCTGGAGCCTTTTTCAGATTCTGCATCTGCCTCTTTCTGACCCTCCCTTGCTCATGCTGTCTCTCTCTCTCTCAGAAATAAATAAAACATTAAAAAAAAAAAAGCGAGAACGAGATTTAAGATATACATGAACCAGATGCAGTGTGAGGATCTTATTTGTATCCTAAGCCGGACATAACAACTGTGAAAAGGTACTCTCGAAACAGTCTGAATGTTAACTGGATATCAAATGATATTTTAAAACTGTCAGTATGGACAGGTGTAATAAAGGTGTCAGGATTTTATTTTTAAGAAATACTCCTTGGGACCCCTGGGTAGCTCAGTAGGTTAAGTGTCCGACTTCAGCTCAGGTCATGATCTCACAGTTTGTGGGTTCGAGCCCCGCGTCGGGCTCTGTGCTGACAGCGCTCAGAGTCTGGAGCCTGTTTCAGATTCTGTGTCTCCCTCTCTCTCTGACCCTCCCCTGCTCATGCTATCTCTCTCTCAAAAATAAATAAAACATTAGAAAAAAAAAAAAGAAATACTCCTTGTTTGTTAGTGATTAAATACTAAAGTGATATCTGAGATTTCATCTCTATCAAAATCTGTATCTGTCAAATACCCTACCAATAATTCTATCAAAAAAGAAACAGGAAGTTGGGGGTAATAGATAAAATAAGAATGGCAAAATATTAGTGATTGTTGAAGCTGTGTAAGGAGTACATTGGGATCATTACATTGTACTCTCTAGGTTTGAAATTTTTTACTGTATACAGTTAAAATCCACAGTGAGAAGGGAAAATTTGATCACTTAAAAAAACTTTTAAGTTTATTTTGAGAGAGGGTGTGAGCAAGTGCGGGGGAGGAGCAGAGAGAGAATCCCAAGCAGGCCCTGCACTGTCCGCACAGAGCCCAACGTGGCTCAATCTCATAAACCGTGAGTGATCACCACTTTAATAGCAAACAAAACTATATTAATTTTAGGAGTAGCAGACACTTGCAGCCAACAGTGCATCCCATAAATTATTGTGTTAAATTTGGGGAAGGAGGAAAAGGCATTTCTGATGCAGCCTTACCTCACCTACAATTCAATGCCCTGCCTTCTCCCACTGAATACCATGAAATTGTAGAGGGTAATGTTTCATTTCAAAAGGAATGAGGAACTTAGAAAGGAAGACACATCTGTTCCGTGGGAAGAGCAGACAGACCTAGTGCCAGCAGTGAGACACAAGGGTCTTTGCCTTCAGCATTCAGCTTCCTCCTGAGCCGTTGTGGGAGCCAGCTGGGACTGCTGTCTAATGGTCAAGTTGGGGATGGAGCCTTTCTCATAGCCAGAACATCTGACTTTCAATATTGCTTTCCAATAAAGTATCTATTTTACTACAGAACATTTTTTACCTCCCATTACTTTTGCTTAGTTCTATAAACATGAATGCTCTTAATGAATAGGCTAGCCCCTGTACAAACAATTTTGTACAACCTAATTGTCTTCGGGATTTTTTTTCCCCCTGTGACACTGACTTCAAGGTATTTTTCTAGTAGAAAATAGTTTAGGTCTAATCAGGACATGAAACTGAACACCATGGTCACAATCAGTATTTTGATGCTCACCTGTATCACTGCAGAGAAAGCTTGCAAAATGTAAAACCATTTTCTTCGGTGGACCTGCATTTTGAAGGTGGAACATTGGTTTTCGTGCTATGGAGGTTTGACCAGGCTGACTGAAGAGATGTAGAAAGGATCCCTCGCAAATCTACATTTTAAAACAAAAGCCTCTTCCTGAATTCTCTAGAATTTTTCAGCCTTAGCAAATTTAAGAGCAAACCAAACATTGATGAGCCCCAAATCCAACTGGAGTTTAAACCATTAAGGCATGGACACCAGGGGAAAGGTGGTGAAGAGGAAGACTTGCGGTGGTGCTGTCCTTTCTACCGCCTTGGGTGTCTGTGCCGAACTTCTGCCAGCACTGTTGGGACACAGCGCCTGGAGGTTCGCAACATCTGCAGTCCCTAGAAGCCACTACGAGGAGGGCCCACGGCCAGATTTGCCATTTTTGGTGGAAAACAAGTGGCAGTTACTAATTATGATGGCTGTATACTTTGGATCTGGATTTGCTGCACCTTTTTTTATAGTAAGACAGCAACTGCTTACAAAATAAGGATATTTTAATTAACCCATTAAACAAATTGTGAAAAGGAGTATTTTAACGGGTGCGGTCTCTTTGAAAAATTGATCAAACTCTTGAACTCAACATAATATGTCTGTAAATAAACTTACAGAGTGACTCTTTAATGCCTCTTCTCTGAGACATGGAATGTAGGAAATAATTAATACAATGCATAGAAGAGTCATTTTGCATTGGAATATATTTGTAAAATCTGTTTTTTCATCATATCTATATAATTTGTTATATCAACTAAACATTGAGTTCTCAGAGAGCTGGAGTCATTTCTATCAATTTTACTCTTCATAGCCACTGTCACAATAATAGAAAAGTATAACGATATCTTGCTAAATATATCTTAATCAAACGTGACTTGTCACATCTTCTAACCCAGAACTTTTGATGATAGGAAAAGGTTTAAGCATAAGAATATATGAATAAGACTGGATTTTGAAAAATATTACTCTAAAAGTGTTTTTAAATTATGAAGACTATATCATAAAATAATCATAAACATGTTATAGCTACTGGCAAAAATAATAATTGTTACTATTTATTGAATGCTGTTTGTCAGGTGATTCCCTAAGTATTTAGAGTCTTTAGTGTGGAAATGGATGCCAAGCATTTGTCCTACACAGAGTTCACTTGAGGATTTGGAAAAATATAAATGCTGGAAGAGTAAGGTTTGTTTCATATCTGTCAGACAGGCTAGAGACAGATCATTTTCTCCAAGTGGTTGGAAGTACTGTAATGAAAATGTAAAAAGCGTGTTTTTTAAAACTTCCTAAGATTACCCATGTTTTGGTTTTGATGAAATTAGTAACCTCTCATCATAATGGCCAAGCTCTTTGCCCCTTTACTGGAGTAGTTTTTATCCTAATCCTTAGCATGTCTGCTTTCTGAATTCATTTGACATCTCAAAAAGCTGTTAACGAGGAAATGGAGTTTTGACGCTTCAGAAAAACGCATTTTCTACTTTATAAAACTGTGTTCTACTTTCAGTTGTTCTGATAACGTGAGTAGAATGGTAAAGCCCATAGAGCTAGTAACAGATAGTAACCTACCTTTTTCCCATAAACGCTATTGACAAGTGAATGGATTTGAATTTTACGGTCTTTCGTCTTCCACGGTAACGTGTAGATGAACGTGCAAATAACTAGTAAAAGACCAACAAAACAGTGTAAGGGAAAATAGATGAAGTATTTAATCAACAAACCATTTCTGAAGTTTCACTGTCCCCCACCCTCCCTTATGAATTGCTTGTTATCAGGAACTGACTATTCTTTGTTATATTCTGGATGGATCGCCCTGCTAGTGCGCTTAAGAAAGTATAAATGATTTGGGGGTGCCTGGGTGGATCTGCTGGTTGAGCGTCAACTCTTGATTTCGGCTCAGTTCGATCCCAGTGTCGTGGGATTGAACCCCCATATTGGTCTCTGTGCTTAGTGGAACCTGTTTGGGATTCTCTCTTTCCCTCTGCCCTTCTGCCTCACTCACATGCACTCCCTCTCTCTCTCTTAAAAAAAAAAAAATGATTTAGGACAGAAACTTTAAATAGCTTCCATGAAAAGTTGTTGTTATTTGCTACCACCAAGGAAAACAAAATGAAATTGAAATATATGAAAGAAAAGAGGAGTGACATCTGGGTGGCTCAGTCGGTTAAGCGTCCGACTTCAGCTCAGGTCATGATCTCCCAGCCCACGTCGGGCTCTTGTGCTGACAGCTCAGTGCCTGGAGCCTGCTTCAGATCCTGTGTCTCCCTCTCTCTCTGCCCCTCACCCACTCACTCTCTGTCTCTGTCTCTCAAAATAAAAGACATAAAAAAATATTTTTTAATAAATAAACTTACTAAAAAAGAAAGAGGAAAGGGTCTCTCCTTTCATATGATAAATCTAATAGTGTTTAAGGGAAGGGCATAGAGGTTTTTTTAAAAAAATTACTTAATTGTATCTATCTTTAGTCCATATTTATTTTTAGCATATGCTGTGTAACCAAAAAGGAGCTTGCTTTTCAATTTGGGATTTTGCAAAAGTGGAAACAGCAGCTTGTGAAAAATACAACATATCATAAACACCTATAGTCAGCCTAAACCTGCTTGTCACCAACCCCAAACTAATAACTAGAAATTTCAAACTCTGGGTATATGTATATATGGAAGATTAACAAGTACTTCATAGTTATCTGTAGCATATGTGTATGTACATGTGTGCGCGCGAGTGTGTGTGTGTGTGTGTGTGTGTGTGTGGCGCTGGTAATTAGCAAACCACATGGCAGTGTATTCAGTATTGGTATTTGATGTGTGAGGAGGAATTTTGAATTGGAAACTAGAATAATAAATTGCTCATGTACCTTTAAAAGTATCTTTTTTAAATTGAATTCTTACTGAGAGAATAACTAGTAAAGTTTAATTGCAGTTTTTTTACCATTTTTCTTTGATTTTATACTAAAAACTGCCAAGCAGATAACATCTAAATGTATCTTTTCAGTGTGACAAAGTTACATAAGAGGAGAATCCCCTAGCACGTAAAGAAAAATGCAATTATTTTCTATTCTGAATCTCCAGACTGCTGTTTTAGAAAATCATATCTGATTATTTGCTCAGCAGAAGATTATTGAGTTGATTTAGCTGTGATTTTACTTAACAAAGCTTCAACTGCATTCCTACTGTGGAGTCCAAAAAAGATAGAGAGATATAAATGATACATTCAAACTGCGATTTTTGTGAACAGGGCCATCGATGCACCCCTCAGAGCTAATAGCGGAGATGAGAAACAGTGGGTTTGCACTGAAACGAAATGTACTGGGGAGAAACTTGACCGCAAATGATCCATCACAGGTAATGATCTTTTTATCGGTAAGCTGAAAATGTCTATAAATCTAAATGTGATTGCTTGTGAATTGCTACTTAATGTTTTCCAATATGCATATATCCATAGGAAAGCAAGATAGAGCAAAGAAGGTGCCTAAAATGTGTTTTGATTTTGATTCTTTATTATTTTCAACTAAATGAGAAATTGTTTTTAAACCTATATTTTTAATAAATGAAACTGCTCCTCTAGGTTTATGTGGATAAAATGTCTACCTGAACTGGTGCTAAGGCTGTTATTTTTTACTTCCTGCTAATTTACATTAAATCGAACCAATAGGAAGAAATAGATGGACGCAAACTCCTAAAAGTTATAGAAAATCTTTTAAGCTTCATTTTTTGAGCTGTACATAGATCCGGAAAATGGTATATTTGAAGGGTTGTGGATATTTTAATGCAAACTAATTTATTTAATGAGAAAACTGGCACCCAGAGAAGTTAAGTGATTGCCCTGGTGGCTCATGTGGCTGTCCAGAGACACAGCTGACACTAAAACCCAGACTCCCATTGGCATAACCTTGTGGTACTCTGAAAAGGAGCAGATTACTTTGCAAACACTGCAAACAGTGATGAAACACTGTTCATAGAACCTGTATCATCATATTTGTCCTGTCTGATACATTGGTATGCATTTGATAATCATATGTTTGACAGTGTACTATTGAATTTATAAAGGCTAAAATTATGAATGCTTTGACCTTCCTATAAAGTTCATGATCTTCTTGGTTTTAACATTTTAAACTCTTAAGTGTTTAAATTCTTTTTTAATATTTATTTATTTTTGAGAGAGAGACAGAGTGCGAGTGGGGAGGGGCAGAAAGGGGCTGAGCTGTCAGCACAGAGCCTGATATGGGGCTCAAACCCACAAACTGCAAGATCATGACCTGAGCTGAAGTCAGACGCTTAACCGACTGAGCCACCCAGGTGCCCCTAAACTGTTTAAGTGTTTAAGTTCGAACTCTAGAGGTGGAGAGTAGAAAGCATGCTATAAACAGTTGATCTGTGTTTCTCTATCTTCCTCTTTCTGATAAAGTTTGTTAATGCTGACCAAGCAGTGATCTTAACCTCGTGATGCATTATGATCCTCCTTGACAGAAGGCTAGAAAAAAATTTGTAATCTCTCCCCCATCCCGCCACTTCTCAATCCAGAGTGTCTTACTCATCTCTAGTATGGGTCTGACAAAGTTTCTTATTTGTAAAGGCTTTCTTTCCCGTCTGATAACGAATTTGTCTTGCAGTCTAGCAATTTAACGATCTCTTTGTCAACTCAGGAATATGTTGCAAGTGAGGGTGAAGAAGATCCAGAAGTGGAATTTTTAAAGTCACTAACAACCAAACAAAAACAGAAACTTCTCAGGTAATTAAACAGTGTATATTTAAGGGATTCAACTGTTTTTTCTTATATTTTGTCCTGTGCATCCTATCTATTGATTTATTCAGCTATCGTAATACAATTTTGTCTTTCTTTCGGTAACGTGAAAATGAGCGTAAGATTATATACTCAAAATATACCACAAAATCATTGTGCTTTTCAGAACATTTAGTTTGGAAATAGATTTGTAGGTTTTACTTTTTGTACCACATTTGTATATATCTTTGCCTACAGCTTGTTCTTATAAAATATGGGCCGTGTATTACTCTTTTTGTGATTTTTTTTTTATGAGGAATGCTGAAGAAATATTTAAAGGTGAATCTTAGTTAAACAGGCTACGTCTGGATTAAAGAGTCCAAAAAATGTTTGCTGAGTCCAATAGAGGGAGCTCATGATGTTTCAGTTAGTGGAGTTTTGAGAATGGCTGGACAGAACCCAGTGAAGACATTTTTATTTTAGAGTAACTCAAACACCAGAACAATTTACTCTTCTGAGGATGTGAAGTACTCTTTAGAAATTCAGAATGCTTTAATAGAATTGTCCTAAACAGTTGTTGAAAACCAGTATGTGATTCTTTTATGTAAGAAAAAAAGAATACAAAAAAATGTGTATTCTTCTTTAAAATTCCTGGAGAATATGCCCTGTAATTTTGATAACACAGTGTTGATTAATTATTTCCATACTTTAAAATAGTACAACATTGGGGCGCCTGGGTGGCTCAATCAGTTAAGTGTCTGACCTCGGCTCAAGTCATGATCTTGTCATTCGTGGGTTCAAGCTCCACATTAGGTTCTGTGCTGACAGCTTGGAGCCTGAAGCCTGCTTCAGATTCTGTGTCTCCTTCTCTCTCTCTCTGCCCCTCTTCTACTCACACTCTGTCTCTTTCTCTCTCTCGAAAATAAACATTAAAAAAAAATTTTATTAGTACAATATATAATTAATTTTTCATCTGATTATAGCTGTGTACTTAAGTTTACATTAGCACATAACTAATGTTTTATAAAGCTTTATTGAGGTCAGGATGTCCATTTATTTAGAGTGCTATGTAATTTCAAAATCTGAGTCAGTAAGAATTGTTTTAAATAGTCATTGCTATTGAAGAAAGTATAGTGAGACAGTTGGCTTAATGCATTTAATTTTATGTGTGACTTGAATAATGTAAAAGGAAGAAAATTATTTGTAATTTAATAAAGAATGCATTTATATTTGAGTCCCACTTTCAGCAGTGTCTATTGAAAATATATGGTCTACTAAAAATTTTAGATTTGTCAACAGGAGGACTGTTTTTACATAGTATGTTATTACTGTTTTCCCAATAACAGGAAATTGGATCGACTTGAGAAGAAAAAAAAGAAAAAGAAAAAAGATAGAAAAAAGAAAAAGCTTCAGAAGAGCAGAAGTAAACACAGAAAACATAAAAATAAATCCCCCTCCTCCTCCTCTTCCTCCTCCTCTTCCTCCTCCTCTTCCTCCTCCTCTCCCTCCTCCTCCAGTGAGACTTCAGAAAGCAGCAGTGAGAGTGACAAAGAAAAGAAAATACAGAAGAAGAAAAGAAAGAAAAATAAGTGTTCGGGGAATAACAACAGTGATTCTGAAGAGAAGGACAAGTCTAAGAAGAGAAAACTTTATGAAGAACTTTCTAGCAGTCACCATAACAAGGAAAAAGCCAAAGAAAAGCCTAGGTTTTCAAAGCAAGAAAGTTCTAGGGAGAAGAGCAAATGGAGCCACTCTGATTCCGACAGAAAGTCCAGAAGCCATAACCGGAGCCCAGAGAAGAGAGGACCTGAAAGAAGCGAGAGGAGCAGCAGGAACCAGAGCAGGGACGAGAGGGGTAGGAGAAGCCGAAGCAAAAGTCACAGTAGTTACCAGCAAAGAGAAGTAAGAAAACAGCCACAGCGAAGCCCCAGTCACGAGCGGCATGGGAGAAGTGGCCCCAGGAGCCACGGCACAGATGGCCACAGAGGAGGGAATCCACACAGAGAGAACCCAGGCGAGGAGCGTGCCGGAGAGACACACAGAGAAGGAAGCAGAAGTAGAGAGAATAAAGAGAGACTGTATGTGACAATTACCTGGGAATAAAAATATCTGTGCTCACTTATTGAATACCTGTGGCAAGGGCTAAATTACATACTATTGTCTTTCTAATAAAAAAGCTTTGTTTTCGTTTCCCGTCCCTGAAAACTGGCATATCAAATACAGAAATTACGTGAGTCCGTGAACTTTGCAAATATTTGTAGGTACTCTCTTATGGGGCTGTAAAAATATTTTCTGTGGAGAAATGTCTCTTGTGCCCTCTGCTAGAGAAGAGACCCCATAAAATGCTGTGACATTTTCTTTGTTCTGAAACATCATTAAAAGATTGGCAGTACACTGAATGGGTACAGTTTAATTTTTGTTATCTTTTTTTCTGTTCAAATTTATTGCCTTTAAGATTTGAATGTACTTGACGCAAAGTATAATCCTTGTTGAAGTCCTCTAGTGTGAATTCAGTAGTGGACGTGATGGCTGTTTCCCTGAGACATTTAAACTCCCTTCAGGTGCTCTGCTCTACTGACTCACGCTTGGGTGACACCTTGGTTTTCTGCATTGCCTGCCATATAGGTTACTTCAGACTTCACACCACATCAACGTATTGTACAGTTCCAGAGATCAGACTCTGAACTGGGTCCCCCAGGGCTAAAATCAAGGTGTCGGCAGGATTGGTTCCTTCTGTGGGCTCTAGGAGAAAATCCGTTGGCTGCTTCTCTCCAGTTTATGGACACAGCTGCATTCCTTGGCCCCTAGCCCCTCCTTCCATCTCCAGAGCTGACAAGGGTGAAGTGAAGTCCTCACATGTCATCGCACCACCACTTGGATATTCTGCATCCTTCTCCCACCTTGAGGACCCTGGTGATTAGAGTGGGCCCACCAGAGAAACCCCCTACTTTAACATAAACTGATTAGCAACCTTCATTCTGTCTGCAACCTTAATTCCCCTTTGCCATATAACCTAACATACTCACAGTTCCAGGGACAGGGATGTGTACATCTTGGACCGTTCTTCTGCCTACCACTGATGGCCTTTCCACAACTGGCATACAACTATTAAAGACTTCACTTCTAAAGGTTAAGCATTTATGTGATGTCATTAATGGACTGTTGTAAACTATTAAATATACTTCATGAATATAGGCATGTAAGGCATATTTAAGTGTAACTGCACATTTCCCCTTGTGCTTCAAAGGATGTGGTAAAGGAGAACTATAGAAAACATTACTTGGTACAAGTTACAAGTAAGCTGCAATTCTGAAAAACATGTGCTAAAGCATCGTGGACAAGGTATTTCTGTTTATCAAGGTTCCACATTTGAAAAGACATCGGTCATTTAATACAATGCAGAGGTTGGTTGGTTGGTTTGGATGGTTTTGAGTGTTGGCAGTCATGGTTTCATAAATTCTGTAAGAAAGTAAGTTTGGAAGGAGTTAAAAAAACCCACTGAATTTAGTCTGATATATCGGTCTTCGTCATGCATATGCACACACACAGATGTCCTCTGGCTTAGAAGAAACTAAAGGAATAAGCAACCCTTTGATTATTTAGATTCTTAAGAGAATTGGAAGTGGGGGCAGAACTTGAATTCCTTTTACAGCATTCTTTAATAACAGCGCACCTCAAAGATCCCTTTCCTTCATTAAAAAAAAAAAAACCATGCATTTGAAATTGATAAAGACTGCTAATTTACACCTTGAGTTCATCAGTGTTGCACTGATTATTTTCTATCTTATGCCTTCTTAGACTTTATAATTTTTATAATGTCAAAACCTATGCAACACTTAACTGCTTCAAAGGGTTTCTGAACCAATACAGTGTTCATGAAGAGAAATGTTGAAATGCATCCTGTAATTAAAAGTGAATTAAAGAAACACATTGTCATTTCTTACACTTTCTTCATTTGACTTTCACAAGAGTGTGATCCACTTTTAACTTTGTAAACGGCCATGAAAAAAAAAGTGGCCATGAACATTTTTTTAATCTCTGGTTTAATTATCCTTCCTTGTGAAGACTGAGAAACTATCAGGTACCACCGATAGCCCCAGTACTCTTGCCCATCTAACGGTAAGAAAAATTCCTGTATGATTCTGGAGGATGTTGGTTTGCTGTTTGGCTTTCAGCTTTGGTCACCCAAGGGTGCTAGACAGCCCCCAAGGGGCTAGCATTCCAACCTTGCAAAATGTAGTAGAAACCGAAAGAATTTTCATGTACAGTCCTCACATGGTAGCAGCTGTAGAGGCTCTCTTGTTCTGCAGACTCATCACGATACAGGTTTAAGGAATTGAAAATGATTTTTTAAAATAAAAGATGTTACTACATCTAATCCTACTTTTGCTTTTGAAATACAAGGTAGAATCTAGCAGCAAACAGCATAATGAAAAGGACGTCTAGTTGTGGGTGTGGAGACCCCCCTCAGGACTGAGAGCCAAAGACGAGTCCTCCCGGCTTAAGAAATCTGATTCAAGAACCCAAACAAGTCCTCCACAGTGACATATTTTAGAAAACCACGAGAAAAGTCTGGTGATATTCGTCAGTCTTACTAGAGAAATTCTTACAAAGAAGTCTGGGCATACCTAGTGACATTTGTCCATGGGCCTCAGACTGCACTTGCGGAACACGGGAGCCAGCTCTGGGGCCTCCACCCTGCCCCCCTTCCCCAGGCCTAACATTTAACATAATTTAACACCATGGCAAATTAATTCCTGTAGGAGGTGCTGTCGATTTACAAATGGCCAGGAAAGCTCGGGTTACGAGGTTAGGACTTGTTTATTTCTCCGGATGTCTGTGCGGTTAAGTTGGCCCTAATTTCACTTAATAAATGCGCCCAAACAGGCAGAGGTTGCTGCGGTGTGGTGGCGGGTCCGCTTACCTTGCAGTGCTTGTCTCGAGCCCTACGGTTTTAACCCGAAGAAAGCTTTTTATCCGTAAGGCTTGGAGAGACCTCTCTTGCTGCTCTTCGGTGAGACTGCTTGCTGTTGGGAAGCAAATCAGGCCCTGCTGCTGGGAGCCGGCGTTTCCCAGCTTTAATTACCGAATATTCCATCTGCTTTCCGTTAAAGCTCAAAGATTTCAGAATCCACCTGAGCCATTTCACTCCCCTCCCCACCTAATGACCGCCGGGCCCAGTCGCTGGCTGAAGTCGCTGGGGCCCTCAGCTCAGTAAGGCTCCCTCCACAGCCCTTTGCTTAAGATCAGGGAGAAAGCTACATTCTAGCATCAGTAGCTGAAGAATCTTCGGTAATCTTTTTAAGAAAACCTTGGTAGTTGCCACTTCTTAAAAAGAAAGGCATGCAGGCCTTGGGAGGGTTTTTTGTTTGTTTTTTGTTTTGATCAAAAAGGAGAAATGCTCTTTAAAAGTTGTGAGAAACAAATAAGACCGAAGGAACTCTAAGGTCGGGGAAGTGCAAAGGATGGCAACTGAGAGTTCTGCTGCCCAGGCTCCTAAAACCCGGCTCCTGCTGACAGAAAAGGAAGCAGATACTCTTCATCACCTTCCGCCTCTCTCCTCCCTTCACGCCACACTTAGCATCCCTCCAACGTTAACAGTAAGAATGACAGCGAGGTGCGGGATGAAAGTCAGGAGCTGCTTATAATGAAAAGAAAGCCACACTCCGGCCCAAACTGCCGGTGAGCCGCCTTCCCCCCACTCGTAGACTCGGAAAACTCCCAGTCCCGTCGGCTCCAAGGCCTCCTCCCGGAGGGAGTGGAGACGCGGAGGTCCGGGGCCTCGGGTGCTGACCAGTGCTGACTTCGCCCTAAGGCCAGAGGAAGCCGGAACGGGGATGGAGTGAGTCCTGGGCTGGGGTTGCCCCTGCCCATCCCCAGAGGCGACCACCCCAGCGTACTGTGTTTGTTGCTCTCCTTCTAGACATGCATCTGGCAACCTTCTTGATAGCATCGCAAACCCAACTGTAAGGCTCAGAATTAGGGGGCACATGTCTCCTTCCTGGAAGATGGGCCTCCCGCGTCAAGAGGCCGCTGGACTCCCCACCCACAGAGTATAACGGGAAGGGGTCCGGATGAGCCCGCAGCACCGCTCCCCGACCCCCATGCCCCGCCTGGGGCCCTAACCTGCCCGGAAGAAATTCCCGGGCCACTCTGCCAGGCTGCCAGCCAAGGGAGCTGGGCCCTGGGGACCGGCCGCTGGAACCTCCCCGCGCGCCCTCGCCCGCCAGCTTCCGCCTAACCTCGCTCTGCCTCCGGCGCGTTTCTCCTGCGAAGATCGGAGGGTGAACTCGCCTTCAGTGGTGGGGAAAGCGAGAGAATTTCTCTCGTCGCTCGGCTCCACAGGTGAAGAGGGCGCTTTAGGACCCCGATGTTAATCTCTCGCTCCTGGGGCAAAATGGAAATACCAACTCAAGCCGGCAGCCTGCAAGCAGAAAACGGACTGAAGGGAGACACCCTATCACTTTGCATTTCTTTTATATATGAACCACCCAGAAACGGTTAGGTGTTTGCAAAACATTGCAAAAATCCCCGATATGAATTTCCAAAAGAAGAGAGTGCAGGGATCTTAGAAAATCTAAAAACTTAGGTGCTTTTCTTTCCTGGGTCGCAGAGAACAGGCCCCGGAGGAATGTGTCCCCACGGACATTCTGAAGCCTTCCCCTTAACTGGAGTTGCAAACACACTGTATATATTTATATCAATAACGTATAGGGTAGGCATGTCTGTATGTATTTATCTCATACATATTTCTATAAACTCCAGCGTCTAGAAAGGGTGGGGGGTAAATAACACTGAACGGTTAAAATTATGGAGAAGGGATAATAACTGATTACTAATTTGAAAGTAAATAAACAGGTGACTTTTTCAGATCAAATTCCTCCTTGGATCGTTACAATAAATATCTCTGAAGGAAGCTCTCTATTTATGTTGTCATTGATTAATTCTTCACTACCTCATTTGATTTCGATTTAGAACGATTTGATTCTAATTTAATTAGCATGTAATTTGGATGTACATAATTACTGTAATTATGACATTCAGGTAAGGCAGCTTTAGGCTGAAAGGCAATTTCAAATTTTCTAGCAACCTACTTTGTACTGGGAAATGGACAAGGACTTTGCGCCCTGCTATCCAAGTAGTAATTAGCACATCTTTGAAATAGGCAGTGCGGCGGGGTTTGTATTAAAACAGCAAATACAAACCCAGCCGAGTTACTCGCTGCAAAGGTGGCTGCGAGTTCCCGGAAACGCATCGCATTTCCCCGGCTGGAGATCGGGGAGCCCGGCGCCCCGGCGCCTCGGCGGACTCTCGCTGTTGCGGGCGACAGCGTTTTTGCCGCCTGGGCGCGGGATTTGGAGGTGTAGCTTTTAAGATTAAAATACAATGAAGGCTCAGGGGAAGGGGTGGGCAAGAAAGGAGGGGAAGAAGCCACCGCACGACGTCTGAAGATGAGGGGTGGGGTAGTGGACTGGGAAGAGGAGGGAAAGGGGCGGCGGGGGGAGGGCGATGCACAGACTGGAGAGAAAATTGGTCAACGCCCCCAACTGTTAGTCGATTTTAGATTTGGGTTTCAAAGGGGAAGGTGGGGACAAAAGGGGTCAGTTTCCGCCGGCAGGGAGTGCAGACCCTTCGGGGGGGGCTGGGGCGAAGGGTTTAGGGGCTTCTGGACGCTTTCGGGGGGCCCTGCGTCCCCCCTCCAGACCCCGGGCTGCTCGGCAGCCCCCAGCACCCGACTCCGGAGAGACCGCAGCCTGCAGGGCGGCGGCGAGGCTAAAGGATGCTTCGGCCATCCCCAGTCCGGCTGGTGGAAGCTACGGGGTGCCTTGCTTTCCTCCCCTCCAAAGGGGAGTCTGGGGACCCGGGACGGTCTGGTGGCCTGGTTTCATCAGCTTGGTTCCGATCGGTCCTGAACAATCCCCGTGGGCCTCGCCGACCGGGCCGTTGGGCCAAGAGCGCGAGGGACCGAGCCCACGGCTGCGTCCCCATCCCGGGGTCTACGTCGCCGTCGACAGCGCCCAGCTTGCTCGTCTCCGAGCTGGAAGAACCAGAAGTTGCCTTGAAAGGCAGTGTTAAATACGGCAATTCTAAGACTTGGGCCAAGCGGGGCGTTATTTTGTTTGTTTTGTTTGAGTTTTTAGTGAGCACGTTCCAGAAACGACGGCCTTCCTGGAAGCAGCAATACCGGCCATTGCTAAGAAGTGCCCACTCAAAAGTGAGGCTCGTCCCCCTCCCCTGGTACACAAAAACTCGCTCTTCTTTCCCGGCTGCGCTGGGTTGCTGCTGCTCGCGGCAAACGCCGGTCTCCCGGCGCTAATAGCGACAAGCCAGGCGGACGGCGCGGCCTTCCCGGCCCGGAGCTCTAGATGGCGCCAGCGAGCCGCACTCGCCAAGCTCCTCTTAAGGGAATCAAGAGCGACTGTCAAACATAAAAGCAAATCAGAGTTTTCAGTTTTTTTAATGTGTTAAGAATGTTATTCCTTAAGAAAATTTGTAGCTAAATTATTCTCACTTAAAATAAACACTTAGTATACCAATTACACAAATGGGCGGGATTTATGTGAGATTTACTTCATCTGCATTTTTGTAGTGGGAGAGAGCCTTGGTGAATACAGATAATAGATGCAAATAAGATTAGAGTTAAAATAAATAAAGTTTCCATCTGAATAAAGAGAAATTCAATTTTACGCGACTTCTAACGATTTGACGGAATGTCCAGACACGCCGCTCAGGTGCACAATCTGATCTCGCCAAAATAATGAGGTCTCTCCTGGAGGAAAGAAAATCTTTTCCTTTTTCTTCTCTTTTTCCTTTTCCTCATCAGGTAGGCTCCAGTTCAGTCCACGGGGGGACAAACAGACCCAGGAACGGTAGCCGCGGGGGGAGGGTGTGTTTGGGGGCTGGGTGGGCGCAGGGCTGGGGAAGACTTGTTCTCCGCTCCTCTGCAGCGCAGGAAGCTACAGAACAGGAAACGCTGGGAGAAACCGGCTGAAACGAAATCGCATTTCCCCTCAGCCGGGCCACGCGGGACTCCGAGCCCCCGGCCGCGGCCCCAGCACCGCGGCCGTGGCCCCCGCCCGGCTCTGCGCCCGGACCCCTCCCTCGGCCTCCCGCTCCTCCCGGGCCCCGGGGCCGGAGCCTCCCAGGCCGCCCGCCCGGAGCCCCGAGGGGGCCCCGGGGAGACGCGGCCCCTCCTCAGGTGGAGACCGAGCTCGTCTCCCCGCTCGTGGGCTCTCCCCCTCCCACGCTCGCCCTCTCCAATTTGCTCGGCCTCGGCGGGTCGCCACCCGCTCAGCTCCGGGCTTCCCCGCGCCCCCAGGGGCCCCTGCGGCTGAGGCTGCGGAGGCTGGGAGGGCCGCGGTCTGTTTTCGCCTGTCGGTTTGGGCCAGGGGGCGGGGGCCCTGCCGCCTTCGGTGCAGCTTCCGCGAGCTGCCGTCTCCCGGCTGGACGCGCGGGCCGGGCCACCGCCCGCCGCTCCCGGGGCCGCGGTGATGGACGTCCGCTGACCCGCGGGGCAGAGGCAGCGCGCAGAGGCCTTGATCACTGGGCTGCGGAGGGAGCCGCGCGGGGAGCGGGACCTGCACCGCCAGGCCCTTTGATCTGCCTTTATTATCCACGAGAAACAAAGCTGCCCGGGACAGACGCCCGGGCGCCCTCTTCCTCGGGAGAGCCCCCCGCACTCTCACCTCCGTGCCGCCGGCCCGCGGCCCCCAGACGCGCCCGGCACCCTCTCTCGGCCTCCTGCGCCGCGGCCCAAAGCCCCCGGAGCAAACGCACCCCTGCCAGCTTCTCCAGAAGGCCGGGTCGGGCCCAGAAGGGGCGCGGGGGGCTGGGCTGGGAGGTCCCGGCTACGAGCTGTTTGAGCGGGGAGAGAACATGGTCAGAGAGGAAAACTCGAGGAAGAAGAGCGGGGTAACCGAGGCTGCGGGAACCGCAGGAACGAGGAGAGGGAAGAAACCACAGAACCCCACGCTGCCAAACGCCCCTCTGGGGACCTCAGCTCTATGTTTTATCGCCACTTTGCTACTTGGCTTTTCAGAGCAGAGTTTGCGAGAAAAC